TCAGCAAACGCAAAAATACATAAGTGATTTTTTTTAAATATGCGTCTAAGTTTATCCTCTACCAAATCGCTCTTCCTTTTTTAAGTGCAAGGACAATGGAGGATTACGTGCTTTAATCTGTCTGATTAATCTTTTGTTTAATTTTTTTTCCATGCAGTATATTCTTGAATCATTCTGATTATTATACAAAATGTTAAGAATTTTAATTATAATTTGTTCAACAACCATAGATTAGCACCATATCTTATTGATCCACCTCCCTTGATTAATGAAATAATTAGAGTGACCATTATGGGATATCTATGACACGATCGAATGTCACCAAATCCAATAATTAAAAGATACTTAATATATATAATCACATTTCTTGTTTATTTCTTTGTTCTTTTTGGTATTTGTTTTAGGAAAGCTACTAGCTAGGTTAACTGGTTAAGTACTAATTGTGTTGCTAAAAGATTTAGGAGGTGTGTGGTATAGATTAACTAAATTTTTTTTAGAAGATAGGTTTCACTTTTCTTATATATAGTTGGTTAATTTTTTTTAAAATATTTTTTTATTAAAAAATATTTTTTTTAAATAATAAAAAAAATGACCTTTTATTGAAAAAAAAAATATATTGTAACATTTCACTCTTCTCCATCCTCGCACCCCACTTTCATAGCCTCCATGTCCACATTCACATACATCTCCAAACATATATGTAAATTGAATATGTTATTTTTGAGTTCGTTTTCGCATTCATTTAGTAATGCTACTGTTAAAGAATGACAAAAGTCTCACATCGGTAATTAATGAGATGAGTGGACTATTTATAAGGCTTGGGCAATCCTCCTCCCTTTGAGCTAGCTTTTGAGATTTGAGTTAGGCCTAAGACCTAATTTCACACCTACTTTCACTTTTACTTGTATATCTACTAAAATATAAATATTTATTTTTATTTATTCAGTTTAAAAAATTAAAAAATAGTTCATCGCTTAGTTCATAAGTTACCTTTATTATCAACTATAATCTTTTTCAAATATTTCCTAAGCCATTGAATCTATTATATTCAAAAATAATAATATAGTAAAAAATTATCATTTTATTTATTACTCCTCCTGATTAAGAGACGTATCTGTTAAATAAAAAGATATTTTCCATTAATTAGTTAGTTGTATCTTGTTAGTTATATTGTTAGAGAGGTAGTTAGAGTTTGTTAGAGTTGTTAATGAAATGTATAAATATAATATGTACAGATTGTTGAATACAAGTTGAATATACACAAACATTATATTTCCTCTCTTCTCTTCTCTTCTCTCATCTTGAAGGTCCTCACATGGTGAAGATCAAGGATCTTAACATGGTATCAGAGCTTGAGTAATTGATCTCATATTCTTTCGATCTTCTCTGCTTCTGGTTCACGTTTCATCTCTTTTCTTTACTGTTTCTGTTTTCTCCTGTTCGACACCTCAACAATGGTGAATGCTAGCTCACCTGCAGATCTGGAAATTGGAGTTGGAGTTGTACCTACTATGGTAACAATCGATCAACATCATCCTTTGTTTCTTAAGCCCAATGATACGCCAGGTAGTTCCTTAATTTCGATTAAACTAACAGGCCCTGAGAATTATGCATTATGGAGTAGTTCAATGCGAATTAATCTGTTAGGTAAAAGCAAGTTAGGATTTGTGGATGGTCGATATCCTAAGGAGAAATATTATGCTTCTCTTCATGATTTGTTGGGAAAATGTAATGCTATAGTCCTTTCATTGATTATGAACTCTGTA